TTAGCAAAATTGGTTATTGATAAATTTAAACAACGCATAAGTAGGGCCAAGACCCCACAAGTAGCTGTAGAGTAACTTGTGGTTTTTGGCTGCTCAATATCGCAAATCATTCACAAAATCCCATCGTTTTTATAAACCAAACATTGGACACTTTATTATGGTTATTTCCGCAAAATTTCTTCCAGTTGACTAGAAAGATAAAAATGTTTTCCTCTCTCCTCTAGACAATGCAGGGATATAATTATGGTCTCTAACATTGACAAAAGATTAGCCTATTTTTTTCGAATGGCTGATTTTTCGAATTGTCAAAAATGACAAATATCTGGGGTCACCAAAAACAACTGAAGATAGACTATGCCACAACTGAAATGTGGACTCAATTCTTTTTTTATTATCGGGCGATTGAAGACCGAAAAACGACCTTCTTCGGTTGTTCTTGCCGAATGCGTTGACAAAAATATAAGTTATCTTTATCAAACTGTACTTGATGGCATAAAATTGGTGGCAAAAAAATTTGCTATATTGTACCTGTACTGCTCCAAAACACATGCGTTCCTTGCCAAAATGTATCCGTAAATAGGTTTTTCCAGGGTCTTGTCTAACTCCCTAATCTATAATTAATTATCCTCAATTGATGTGAGTTTGGCGAAACCATCGTTCTGTTTACACAGAAAAGCTACTGATACCATTATCTCAAGTAGGCATCTGAGCTGTCGTCCGCCGGCCGACATATTTTTGGCTGTATAATATGAATATATATGCAGTTCGATTATGTGCAAATTCATTAGCCGTAAACGGATAGCCCGTGTCTTACATTTCACCAATATGCAAAGAATACTTCTCAGATTAAAAAACGCCTAGTTGCGCTTAATGGTTGAAAAGGGATATAAACTTCTATCCATGAAACAACTTGGAGACAGTTTAACTTACCACTATTGCAGTCGACTCCGCTTCCACTCAGAAATATCCTAAGAACGGGTTTCGTGAAAACCAATAACCAAACAGCGGTAACAACCAATAGGAAAAGCCGAGACGCTCAACAACCCTATAAGAAACCCTTCTGCTGTTATGTTTGTCCATCTCCAAATGGTCGTTACTTAGTGTGAGAAGCGCCTGCCGTCGGGCGTCTAATTTTACTTCCACAAG